AAGGTAAGGAATTGTGAAATGCCCCATGTGCCCCTTCCTTCCATTAGATTCAAGTTCCATCACACAGGAAGCTTGCGGCCAGAATGTAATGAATAGATCAAAGATCGGCCACAAAAATGCATGGCAAGATAGACGTGGCATATCACGATAACCGCTTAACTTTTCGCGAGGTGTTGGGCTAGTCAGATTTTGTACCAAAACACCCTCGCCTTAGCCACCTGGAGCAATGCAAGCCACCGATCCTCTTTCTGCTTTGCCTATAAAATCCTGACGTCTCACTGTAGGCTACCGTGTGGTATGGTAGCCCCATTTACCTCTCCCTCTCTTTAGTCCTTCCGCCAAATCTTGAGCATTCAAGGCGCTTGGAACATATCTCTCCCCATGCCGACGTAAGTCCAAGAAATATTATTATTTGAACGATTCACTAATTACGTGTCTAGTTTCCCCAATGTCCATCAAATATGTACCAACTGGAATACAAAGGAGAGAGTTTCGATCGAGTTGAACGAGATCCACCAGGAACTGCTTCGACGAGCATCCGGGAACGACAGACATCGTGGTCACGAATACGTATGGTATTTGACCTGGGACATTGCAATCAACAGGAATATTGACTGCTATAGCTCTCTTACGATGTGCCACCAGTACCGCATAACACGCACGATAGAGGTAGACGACGGGACTGAGCGCCTGAAGTCGTGCATACCAGATTTTGGTATTATCCGTCAAGTTGGAAGACGAACGATAGAGATTAATGGTGAAGAAGTCGAGCTCCAGCCATATAGCAGGCTCGTGGCTATAGGCGAAATCAAATGTTCTCCTGTTGACCCATCCAGGCAGAGTGTCTACAATGCACTTAGAGAAGCGCGCTCGGACCTCGTGAAGCAAATCAGGATATTCTTCAAGGCCCATCCCACGTTCAAGACCGTGATAGGCATTATGGCAGCTGGGGACTGGTGGACATTTCAGAAATTCTTCAGGGAAGACTTCGTAAACATTCCAGACAGTGACAGTGAAGACGACCGCGAATTCGAACCGGCTGCTAGTCTACCATCCACCGATTCATCTACTGCAGGCGTCTCAGATAGAGACGAGTTGGATATCATTAGTCGAGATGGCAATAGGGGTGCAGATGACGACGATAATAACGATGATAACGTGTTTGAACGTCCGATATTCAAATTACAGACTTTAGAGAGCAACTTTGCCATTGCTGTCTTGATTGATATGATCAGGAAGCTGGAGGGTTGCGAAATGTTCGGGGGTGTCCCTCTCTAAACTGTACGCAAAATTTCACACTATACTTTGAATACGCCTTGCTAATTCTGTTTTTAAGAAGTACCTCCTTCGTTTCTATTCATCTTAGATGCTTAAGTAAAATACCATTTGTGTACAATGTCATGTTATACCAATAAAGTCAAATAAGTCGAACTATATGAATAAGGCGTGTAGAATGTCAACCAACATTGTGCTTCCCGGTAACTACCTATAGGCTGCCACTTCAGATGTTTGTTCATCCAAAACTGTAATACAGTCAGGTATGAATCGAGGCAACAATAACGTGTAATAGTACGGTTGTTACACCATGGTTGCAATACAATAATGTTCGAAGAGTATAGCTGACCTTCGGAACGTAGCACGTGTCAATTACTCCTTCAGAACGGTACTGAAATATATGTGATGTTATGGTCATTTGGAAAAGGATATAAGAGACATGTTCATACACTCATGAAAAAAGAGTCATTGGCCCCTGCAGGGGTCGAACCTGCGACTTTGGCGTATACTAATATATTAGCACCACACTCTAACCAACTGAGTTAAGAGGCCATTCGTTTTGATATTCTTCTAGTTGTATAAGATTTTGATAAATAAGGAAATTTGTAGACGGTGCAGTGTTACGACAGTCATTAGTCTGCTACTTCTCTAATATAATTAGAGACTGTCTGAATAATTGTTTAAATCGAGTGGTGATACTTTATTTTTAGAGTCTATAATACAAGGTCTCTATAATACAAGGACAAAGCAGCGTGCCTAACGCTACGTACGTTTTACTGTTCCCACTTCATACGCGAACTCTTGAACACCGATACCATACCCACAGGGACAGACGTTGGATCTACGACTGCCAAGCTTCCGAACTTCTTCACCATTTGATCGTGATGCAGCGCGATGACCCATTTCCAGTATGGCCGAAGCGAGTTCCAACCGGACGTGGCACCCGCCGACCCACCAAACGCATCGATACCATCACCGAGAAGCTTTAAAGATGCTTCCAGTTTTGGTGTAAGAGAGACAGAGTAGCTCTGTGGACGATCAAGGAGCTTTTTGTACGCCGTGCACCACCATTCTCCACGCTCTTCGCGACCCTTCTTGAACTCTTCGAACGAAAAGAATGGATCATTCGCTTTAACAACAGCGTCTTCGCCGGGAGCAGAAATTGAAGAAATCCTAGAGATTTTGACAGAACGATGGCTCGACTCACTGCTCTCCCATAATTGCTTCGCTTTGTCATACTCCTGTTCACCAGTCCGGGAAGCAAGATTGATTATGCTCTCAACGGACTTTGCCACAAAACCTTCCCGCAGGAGGAACAAATCAACGAGCACATCTTTGACTTCGAGGCCACCTGCCGCGTTGGGCCAGAGGTACCACCCATAAGGCACGTCTTTGGTCGATATGTTGAACTTATCTTCGATCATCTTTGAGATTGCACCCGCAAAGCTGGCTTGGTTCCTGCCGTCGGACTCGGTAGAGAAGAGTACCCTCTGGGCACGAGTAATCGTATCGATGACGCTGTCAATGTGTTCCTTTCCCCACACCACTGCAGGCGCACCACAATTACGTACAATAAACGCGATGTATTTATTGTACGCTTGAACCCATCCGAACACAGAAGACGTCGCCGCCAACTGCCGACGCAACTCCTCAATATACTGGTCAACCATGTCCTGATCGACGATGAACCGCCCTTCCTGCGCTGCATTCATGCGCAGGAATCCCCATCGCACATCACCAGAAGGTAGGCCAGGGTGTATTTCATGGCTTCCGACAACAACTGAACCTGTCTTCTCCGAATTGAACTTCAACCCGGCGACCTGCGCATATTGTTGCATCTCCGCCCAAGCAACCGCACAGCGTTCGGAACTGGTGTCCCAGAACCAGAAGTCATCGTGTATGCGATGAAGGAAAAGCCCGTCAGCTTTCTGATTCACAGCGAAATCCATGATGAACATCACGAGTTCGCCGAAAAGAGTGCTAAACGCATATGAAATTGGGACTCCACGCTTGCGTACGCGTACTTGATTTGGCGGATCACCCTTAAACATTACTGGACACGATAAGAAGGCTTCCATGAACTTGACGTGATTCTCGGGGACGCCGAAGAAACGAAGGACGGTTGTAACAGTGTCGAAGGGCAACGACGGGCCAAACCATTCGAGATCTGTACGCACCACAGTGCACTGGCTATGAAGTACTTTGTTCAAGGCAACGTCTGCTGAGAGTATATGCAACAAGGACTGCTTCAGGTCAACAGGGGTTTCGAACTGAGGACCACGGGAGTTGATACCCCTCCGCGACCGCTTTTTGCATGGAACATGGCTCTTGCTATCGTCTTCGTTGTAATGGTCAGTGAGGCCTGCGAAATTTGACGGTAACTGGCACATAAAATAATGATCCTCGTTGTACCTGCGCCGAACCTTATCGATGCACTCGCTCTCTTTACCGTAGAATATATCTCTCCTCTGGTGCTCGAGTTGGCTAAGCTTCTTCGGCAATTGCTTCCAAATCCTACTGTTAAGGAGCCGTCTGAGATTGGACTTGAATTCAACTGACCAGAGAATGCCAAGGAAGTGGAGAAGAAGACAAGTGAGTATCTCTGCATCAAGGTAGAAGCGCGTTCGTCCATTGAGATGCCGGCGCGGCTCAAGTAAGACTCCGCCGACGGGCCAACTCCATGAATTGATAGTCGATAGTTGCATGTTAAGCACGCTTACCAACTCCTCCATGACTGTCGGATTGCGCAAGAACTCCTTCAATGTCGCCTGCTTCTTTTCCGAGAGAACATCCGATTGAAGCACAGACCGAATTACTTGCTTGAGCTCCGTCATCGAAATCTTCCGAGTATTTAAAGACGACGCGAACTTTTTGATGCGGGACCGCAGATTATCGAGTTCTTCCTTCGTGTCTTTCGTCGAGAATAGACCCCCCAAATAATTATTTAGAGCAACGACGTCTATCTTCTTCTCCTCAAAGATGAGTGACTCCAACTTCTCCTTCTGTTCAATCGTCGCCTTCCTATCGACCTTTTCGTAATCTCCTAATGCGGGCTGTCGACCCTCTGTGGTGACGACCTCCTCACTAGTAACACTATCGACACCGGACGACGTGCTTCGAGAGTTCGAGTTGAGCCAGTCATTAAGAAGCATGCCAAACAGCCGTGCAAAGTCAAATCGCGTGCCCTCGTGCCCAAACTGCGCTTCCGCCTGACGAGTCCAGTCGTCAACTACCGAGGGCGGAAAACCAGGATCGCGCTTTGCCTGGTTTAGATAGCGCAGGACATCGCGGGAACTAAAATCGGACGAGAGAGCGCCAGGCCAGCCGTCAAGACCATCAACCAGCACCTTAAGACGAGCCAAAGGATCAATGTCGGGGTGTTCATTTGCTTTTTTGCTGACTTGAGATGCGTACTCGACAAACTTGTCATTCCTTTTACTGAGCTCGCTGAGTTTGACGGTCGTGATGAACTGAAGCGTCTCACTGAATGCGTCGTTCGACATCTTGTTCTTCACCACAGAATGGCTAGCGAATGACCGGAAGAGAGCGGGTTGATGGAACCTCAGGCGCGAGGCTTGAGGCTTCGGGGCAAGAAGTTGGTGTCCTTTATACGCCTTTCCAGTACAAAAAAATGACTCACGATCCTAGGCATTGATGTGTCCCACAATGAAGAGTCAGTCTGACACTCATCGAGGATGCGATGCTCATTTTGAACCCTGTTATAGCCTATGAGTCAACTTGAGTACAGCTGAGCCGAGAACCGCTAAGTTTAAGTCACGTGAATACTATGTAACGTCGCTTATAATTAAGTGATTACCATGTCTGTTCCTTGTTACCATAATTGCACTGTTTGCACATTATTTTCCCAGTCGCTAAGATCAAACACTACGGCTGATTGCAGCACAACATCATTTTTTGCGAGTCTATAATACAAGGCTAGTACAAGCAATGAAGTAGTTTTACATGCTTCTACTGCTCCCACTTCATCCGTGAACCCTTAAATACAGACACCATTCCCACCGGGATAGACGTTGGCTCTACAACTGCCAAACCTCCGAATTTCTTCACCATCTCGTCGTGATGAAGTGCAATAACCCACTGCCAGTATGGGCGAAGCGAGCTCCACCCCGATGTTGCATTGTTTCCGGACCCGCTGAACGCACTAGCACTATCACCAAGCAATTTCAACGAAGCTTCCAGTTTGGGGGTACGAACGATACTGCAAGCTGCTGGACGCTCAAGCAGCTCCTTGTACGCTGTATACCACCAGTCGCCACATTCTTCACGGGCCTTTGTGAACTCCTCAAAAGAGAGGAACGGATCATCCGCATCAACGACGGGAAGCTCACCACGTACTGTATGTGAGGAAAGCCTCGAGACTTTCGCCATTCTGTCATTTGAATCACTGCTCTCCCATCTTCTCTTTGCCATGTCATACTCCGACTCATCCCTTTGATAGGCCTTCCTGAAAATGCTGTCGACCGACTTTGCACGGTACCCATCCCTTACAAGGAACAAGTCTATGAGGACATCCTTTATTTCCAATCCACCCGCTGCATTGGGCCAAAGATACCAGCCATACGGAACATCCTTGGTGGATACGTGGAATTTATCCTCGATCGTCTTCGAAACTGCAATGGTAAAGCTTCCCTGGCTCGCGACATCTACTTCGGAGGAAAACAGGGAGCGCTGGACATGTGCAATCGTATCAATAATGCTGTCGACGTGCTCCCGTCCCCATATTATTGCCGGATGCCCGCAATTGCGCACCATGAATGCGATATACTTGTTGTAAGCCTGGATCCAACCAAATACAGACGTGGTTGCCGCCAGCTGTCGTCGCATTTCCTTGATGTGCTTATTAATCATCTCCTCGTCTATTAGGAATCGCCCGTTCTGCAAAGGATCCATCTGCAAGAAGCCCCATCGTATGTCACCGTCGGGAAGTCCACTATGCATTGCGTTACCGCCAATTACGGCTGAGCCAGTCTTCTCACGATTAAAATTGAGGCCAGCCACTTCTGCGTAGCGTCGCATTTCAGCCCATGCAGTTGCGCATCGTTCAGAATCTGCATCCCAAAACCAGAAGTCATCGTGAATGCGATGAAGAAGCAAGCCGTCCACTCTCTGATTAACAGCAAAATCCATGATGAACATGATGAGTTCACCAAACAGCGTACTGAACCTGTACGTAATCGGGACTCCGCGTTTACGCACCCGCACTGGCTTGGACGGATCGTCCTTGTACGTGACAGGACACGAGAGGAAAGCCTGCATGAATTCGATATTCTCCTCGGGTACGCCGAAGAAACGAAGGATCGTCGTAACGGTAGCAAACGGTAACGACGGGCCAAACCATTCAAGATCTGTACGCACCACCGCGCATTGTCCGTATAGCTCTTTCTTGAAGGCGACGTCCACAGACAAAATGTGCAATAGAGACTGCTTCAGATCGACAGGTGAGTCAAATCGCAGACCAGAATTGGGCTTTGCATAAGGCGGGACGTTGTTGGCACGACGCCTTTCGTCAGTGTCATCTGCATAATGATCGGTAGACTCCTCAAACTCCGATGGTAACTGGCACATGAAGAAGTGGTCAGCGTATAGTTGGTGGCGGAACTTGTCAACGCTGAACCCGTCTCTCCCATAGAACCTGTCTCTCCGTTGACGGTCGACTCCAGCCATCTTATTAGGTGTGTGGCTCCAAACTGCACTGTAGAGGAGTTGCTTGAGAGCGCTCTTAAACTCGACCGACCACAGCATTCCAAGGAAGTGGAGAAGGAGACAGGTAAGAATCTCTGCGTCGAGACAGAAGCGTACACGCCCGTTAACGTGGCGACGGGGCTCAAGAGCAACTCCATCAGCAGGCCAACTCCAGGACTTCAATGTCGAAAGCTGCATGTTGAGCACATCAGCAAGCTCTTCCATGACTATTTGATTGCGAAGAAACTCCTTCAGCGTCACTTGCTTCTTGTCGGATAAAACGTCCGCCTGCAGCACAGACGAAATCACCTTCTTCAACTCCTCTATCGTAATTTTCCGTTCGGCCAAGGACTGACCGAAAGATTTAATGCGCGACCGAATAGATTCCAGCTGCTCCTTAGCTGTCTTGGTAGTAAACAAGCCGTTCAGATACTCTTCCAGCGCAGCGACGTCGATCTCCTTCGTCTCGAAAATGAGTGCCTCCAGCTTCTCCTTTTGTTCATTCGTCTCTTTCCTCTCAGGATGTTCGCCAGATGAATCCTGGTCGTGCTTCGAATCATCGCCTGTGCCTTTCGACGGATCCTGAGAACTCGACGACTTGGAATGGAGCCATTCATTGAGAAGCACGCCAAATAGCCGAGCGAACTCGAAACGAGTGCTCTCAAACCCAAATTGCGCTTCCGCCTGACGAATCCACTCCTCAATCACCGACGGCGGGAACCCCGGGTCACGTCTCGCCTGTTCCAAATAACGCAAAGTATCAGTGCAGCTAAAATTGTTGTGCTGCGTGTTGGGCCAAGCATCGAGGCCTTTTACCAGCAACTCGAGACGGGTGACAGGATCGATACCAGCGTGCTCGCTTGCATCTTTGGTAACTTGAGATGCGTGCTCGACAAACTTGTCATTCCTCTTGTTGAGTTCATTGAGTTTAACAGTCGTGATGAACTGAAGCGTCTCGCTGAAGGCATCGTTCGACATCCTGATCGTTGTACGTGAGGGATGTAAGGGCTTGAGAAGATGAGGGTTAAAGGGTTTGAAAGATCGACAACGGAACAGCACACTTTATATACCGCTCACAATTCCAGTGCCCGTACGTTCTCTTGGAACGAAATTCACCTACGGGGGTTCATTTGGACCAATCGGTCCTTCATATAATGGCAGAAGGATCGAGAACTTTCCCGGCATGTAAACTTGATATAGAGACAGATAGTTTGATTATGATCGAGTCAGAGGATGCTGCAGGGAGTCGTCTTAGTCGTTGAAGTGCCTGGATAAGCGCTGAACCGGTCATAAGACAGAGTTGCAACGTTTTTCGCTTTACTATTATAGGAACTATTGCCTATCTTGGGTCAAGTGGACCTATTTAAAATGTTGTAAATACCACAAAGGATATCAGCCTAAATATTCGGATACCTACCAATACCCGAATGGCTCGCCACGGTCGGTGAACGCGGAGCGGCATTCTCAGGCGTTGGTAACGAGAGCAGCTCCTTGATCGCTGCGAGGAATGATTCGATACATGACCTCCTATGGAGCAACTGTGAACTACGTCAAGAGTGGGTAAAGAACTCGATACAATTAAGATTAATGAACAACACGAGTTTTACCTACGTAGTATTCGACCCAGATTTAAATCCCGCCTTTGATAGACTTTCTGACCTACAAGTTCATCTGTAGCAGATCGAATGTCACACACGGTAAGAATGCTAGTATGGCAGGATATTCGAATGAGTCAAGGCACCTAGGTGGATGCAAGAAAAATAGAAATTGACCATTTCAGTCAGCTGATTGTCCAGCAACGATCGACGCTGCCTTACTCAGTAAGCTTACAGCATATTTTATCCCTATACTGCAGCGTCGATCGTTGTGGGAATTTTACCTGACTGCGTCAATTTTTAATGAATGGAACACCTCGAAAGTGCCTCACCGCCTCCCAAAATCACAGAATAGCAAGCAGTTTTTATATTCCCTGAAGATATGTTACATACTTATTTCTCCTGTTTCATTTGAAATGTCTGATTAAATAGTCTTGATTGCAAGTATACTATTTTATTTTGCTGGTCTAGAATACATGGGCAGGGGAAGAAGCATGACTAACGTTACATATCTTTTTACTGCTCCCACTTCATACGCGAACTCTTGAACACTGATACCATACCCACAGGGACAGAAGTCGGATCTACAACCGCTAAGCTCCCGAACTTCTTCACCATTTGATCATGATGCAGCGCGATGATCCATTTCCAGTACGGCCGAAGCGAGTTCCAACCAGACATGGCACCATCAGACCCACCAAATGCACCGATACCATCACCGAGTAGCTTCAACGATGCCTCGAGCTTTGGTGTAAGAGTTACGGAGCAACTCTGTGGACGATCAAGGAGCCGTTTGTATGCGGTACACCACCATTCACCACGCTCTTCGCGACCCTTCTTGAATTCGTCGAACGAAAAGAACGGATCGTTCGCTTTGACAATAGCGTCTTCGCCGGGCGCGGTGCTTGAAGAAATCCTAGAGATTTTTGCAGAACGATAAGTCGTCTCTCCACTCTCCCAAAGTCGTTTCGCCTTATCATACTCCCATTCATCCTTCCAGGAAGCGTTTTCGATTGTGCTCTCAACGGAGCCCACTCCAAAACCATCCCGCACGAGAAACAAATCAACGAGTGCATCCTTGACTTCGAGGCCACCTGCCGCGTTGGGCCAGAGATACCAGCCACAAGGTACATCCTTGGTTGATATGTGGAACTTATCTTCGATCATCTTTGAGATTGCACCCGCAAAGCTAGCTTGGTTCCCACCATCTGACCCAACAGAAAAGAGTGCCCTCTGAACGCGAGCAATCGTATCGATAACACTGTCAATGTGCTCCTTGCCCCACACCACTGCGGGCGCACCGCAGTTCCGAACAATAAACGCAATGTACTTGTTGTATGCTTGAACCCAGCCGAACACAGACGACGTCGCCGCTAGCTGTCGGCGCAACTCCTCGATATGCTTATCCACCATGTCCTGATCAACTATGAATTGCCCTTTCTGTGTTGCATCCATACGCAGGAATCCCCATCGCACATCACCGCGAGGCAGACCAGGGTGCATCTCATCGCCTCCGACGACGGCTGACCCAGTCTTCTCCGAATTGAACGTCAAACCTGCAACTTGTGAAAAGCGTTGCATCTCCGCCCAAGCAACTGCACACCGTTCGGAACTCGAATCCCAAAACCAGAAGTCATCATGAATACGATGAAGGGAAAGCCCGTCAGCTTTCTGATTGACGGCAAAATCCATGATGAACATCACTAGTTCTCCAAAGAGCGTACTAAACGCATATGAAATCGGGACTCCTCGTTTGCGTACGCGTGCCTCGTTTGACGGATCACCCTTAAACATGACTGGACACGACAAGAAGGCCTTCATGAACTTGACATTTTCCTTGGGGACGCCAAAGAAGCGAAGGACGGTTGTGATGGTATCGAAGGGCAACGACGGACCGAACCATTCGAGATCTGTACGCACCACAGTACACTGGCCATGAAGCGCCTTGTTGAAGGCAACGTCCGCTGAGAGTATATGCAACAAGGACTGCTTCAAGTGAACGGGAGATTCGAACTGAGGGCCTTGAGAGTCGGAGCCCCTCAGTGACCGGATAGTGCGTGGGACATGACTATTGTTATCGTTCTCGTTGTAATGGTCAGTGAGGTCTGCAAAATTCGACGGCAGCTGGCACATAAAGTAATGATCCTCGTTGTACCTGCGCCGAACCTCGTCAACGCAGTAACTCTCTTTACCGCAGAATATGTCCCTCCTTTGGTGCTCGAGCTGGCTAAGCTTCTTTGGTAGTTGTTTCCAAATCCTACTCTCCAGGAGCCGTCTGAGTTCGGACTTGAATTCGACTGACCAGAGCACACCGAGGAAGTGGAGAAGAAGGCAGGTGAGAATCTCGGCATCGAGATAGAAACGAGTTCGTCCATTGAGATGTCGGCGTGGCTCAAGTAAGACGCCACTGACAGGCCAACTCCATGAATTGATCGTCGATAGCTGCATGTCAAGAACGCTCACCAACTCCTCCATGATTATCGGATTACGCAAGAACTCCTTTAGCGTCGCCTGCTTCTTCTCCGAGAGAACATCCGACTGAAGTACGGACAGAATCACTTGCTTGAGCTCTGTCGTTGAAATCTTCCGAGTATTCAAAGACGATGCAAACGTCCTGATGTTAAACCGCAGATATTCCAGGTCTTCCTTCGCTGTTTTCGAAGAGAATAGACCCTTCAGGTAATTGTTTAGAGCGGCAACGTCTATCTTCTTCTCCTCGAAGATAAGTGATTCCAACTTCGCCTTCTGTTCAACCGTCTCCTTCCTATCGACCTTTTCATAACCCCCTAATGCGGGTTTTTGGCCCTCTGCAGTGACGTTCTCTTCAACGGCGACACCCGAGCTACCCAACGACGCTCCTCGAGAATTAATTGACTTCGAGTTGAGCCAGTCATTAAGAAGCATGCCGAACAGCCGTGCAAAGTCAAATCGCGTACCCTCGTGCTCAAATTGTGCTTCCGCCTGACAAGTCCACTCGTCAACTATCGAAGGTGGAAAACCCGGGTCGTGCCTTGCCTGCTTCAGATAGCGCAGAATGTCATGGCAACTAAAATCGGACGAGAGAGCATTAGGCCAGCCGTTAAGACCATCGACTAGAACTCTAAGACGAGCAGAGGGATCGTTATCGGAATGCTCATTTGCCTTTTTGTTGACTCTGGAGGCGTACTTGACGAACTTGTCGTTCCTTTTACTGAGCTCGTTGAGTTTGACGGTCGTGATGAACTGAAGCGTCTCACTGAATGCGTCGTTCGACATCTTGTCTTTGAGAATAATAGCAAGGACGGAGGAGGGGATTGATGGAACCTCAGGTGAGAGCCTTGAAGATTCAGGGGCAGAACCCGGTATCCTTTATACAGCACAAACAGTGTTCCCTGACTCACGATTCCTGCGCGCCTCGGTGCGCTTCCCAATGAAGAGTCAGTCTGACTCTCAAGGATCAAAGGGGATGGAAAACTGCCCTGAAATTTTACCCATCCAATGGAATGGGATTGGCGCACTTCGTCGTGACCTGGGAAGAGTCTCAATGTACAGCCAGGGCGTCACTTAACCAACATGTGATTACTTGTCCGAGACAAAGTCACGTCATACTTGCATCCTTCAAGAACACGTGAACTTCTTTGCATTATGTAAAAAGTTTTGGACATGTAGACTGTTTAGATACATGCAGCAGGTTACATAGAGCCTGTAAACAACAGATGTCAGCAGTCATGTTCACAATCATATAAAATAGGTCAAATTACCTAAATATCATTATGTGAGCGAATTTTCATTCCCGTGCATTCCTAGCGAGAACAGCTGCTTTCTTGTTGCGAGGAATGATTCGACACATAAACTCCATCGGCCAACTATGCCAGTTTTACTTATGCACACAACGTGATCAATGCACACGAAGTCTTACCTATTCAATCCAGACGTGAACTCAGGCTTTGGTAAGATTTCCGAACCCTTATCGTCCACAGCAGGCCGAATGTCGAACACAGTAAGAATGCTAGCTATAGCCAGCCAGATGTCCGCTTCTGCAAAGTGACGCCCTGGGCAGATGCTTCGAGAAGAAAGACGAGTCAAATTCACTTAGGACGAGTCAAGATGTAGATGAGAGTGTCTTACCGCCTCCCAAAACCAAATACAGCCAAAGCAGGATCCGGTACGGAGGACAAAAACGTGTCATCCGTTTTCGCGATGAAGCGGTCAGGATTGAATTCCATTGGATTGTTGTAGTTACGTTCATCATGCATCATCTGCCTGAAGTTGGATGAAATCAATGTCATCGAGTACAGTGAGAATGTCGTCGCTGGACGGACTCACCATACGTTCGGGATGATCATTGAACCTTTTGGAATGTACTTCCCTTCTAGTTCACCTTCTTCTATTGCTCGATGGGAAATACCTACCGACTTGTCTTGGAGGCAAGGACGAGAACTTATGATACTGTTGCATACCAAGAGGAAATGGGGTGCCCCATCTAATATCCTGTTAGTATACATAAGATGGAGAGAATGACGAATACTAACCGCAAACATTCTTTCGCAATACAAGTAATATAGGGGAGAGAATCCTGGTCGTCAAAGGTTGGCAGGCGTTCCCCTCTGAGGACAGCATCTAAATCATCTTGCGCTTTCCTTGCTACGCGTGGATATAGAACCATCGCCAACATGAAGGTATATAGCACCGCAGAAGTCTAAGCATTACGCGTTTATAAAAAAAAATTACAATGCTTGAGAAGTGTTATTAAACTCACGGTACCAACGCCGGCTGAACCGTCGAATAAATAAATCGAGATGAGCCTTCAACGGTAATCCAATTACTCACCTCGATACATAGACCCACAGACTTCTTTAATTGCTTCCGCGCGCTGCTTATCGTCAGCTCCTTGTTGTTCATAATCATCAAGCATATGAGTTAATAGGCAGGGCGTTGCCGTTCCTGTGTCCTGTCCGGTGATAAGCATCAGTAGCGTTAATCAACGAGGAGCCAAGCGTTTTACCCGTTGCTGCTTAACCGTCTCATATGGACGGTCCAGCATCTCCTTTAATGCGACGCGCGCCTCTAATGCATAGTCCTTGAACGATAAACCCGGGAGAAAGGAAGGTGCATGTTGCACTGCACATTGCCTCAGTCAAAACGAAATGAAAGCAACCAAGGAAGACGAACGAATAGGAAACAGATCCACCAGTGTCGTTCCTGGAGGGCCTGCTCTGGCTACTGCATTTTCCGAGAATTCGTTGAGCTTCATTAACGGGTCATCTCTACGTTCGACCTGATATCCGTAAGTGGCTGAAAGGACGGCAGAAGCGGCAAAGCTGATAAAAAGTTCTCAGTAAGCCTCATGAACGGTGTGAAATATATGTTGCGCACCGCTTGATATGTCTCCAGAAGGCATCCGGTTCCAGATAAAGATCTTGGACCAAATCCCGGACCAGTCTTGTCTGTAGCGGACGAAATGCGAGTACTGCACGAGGATTGAGATACTGTTGCAGGAGTCGACGGTGTAACCTCCATGTATCGCCATACGGCATGAATGTGACGGAGCGGACTTTCACCCTGAAAATACTCGTCAATAGAAACTTCCAGTCCGCAAGTTATGGAATGCAGTACATCTCGACAATATAGTCCATCCGAGGCCTATCAGAGTATATCGCGCTACGCTTCTCCATGAGTTCCCTCGCATGCTCAAGCTTATTTAGGACGACAATTGGCCGCCCGAGGACTGTCAGATACATGATATCGCCTGCAGACGAAGTTCAAGTAGAGCAACAGATATAAAAAGCAACAACCACGTACCAAATGTTTTAGACCATTCAGAGAACTTCATCCATTGGTACTTTGAGAGCAATACACCCAAGTTGCCCACAATGAAATCGCCCTTCGGTCCAGAAGGTAAGTCTGAGCGCCTTCCACTCGCAAGACTTAGCGACACAACGAGAATGGCGAGTACGCCTCCGAGAACAGCTGCAGATACGACGTCCATTGCAGAGTGCCACTTTGAACCGCTCCGCCTGACGCTAGGTACATATCTCTAAGCATTCCGACGACCTGCGGATGACCGTGAGATCATTAGACCGGGAAGAACTCAAGAAAGCACACAAATTGTCCATATGACGGCAATTGTAAGCATCGTGTTTTGCTTGAGTATTACTGTGAGGAGAATGGTTTATCCGCCGAGAAGCCCATGCCTCGAGACTGTGCTGACGTCAATATGCGCGGTGGCATTCAGTCGTTGGCCATTTGCTTTCGTTTTGTTGGTACATCTATTTCTTAAGCCGACCAAGAGGAGCAGACCACAGCGTCATTATGAATAGATAATCAGACAAGTTGAATGAATATTTAGCATCAAGTACCGAGCAGTCTAAAGGGATATCGGCTCTTGACAGTGGACAGAACACTGAACTGTGAACAGTCGATCGAGACGTGGATCGACTCAATGGCTGACATAAGCGGGAGATCTTCAGTAGTTCATCACGTGCGTTTGATTTGCTTTCTCAGTCTCGTTTCGACGTTTTGCATTTTACCATGTTGATTGTTTTGACGGAGGAAGGCCATGAGACCTTCGGGCACGTTGCAAAAGGACTGCTTTAAATTAGCTAGCCAGTAATTGTCATTTGAAGAATTCCTTAACGACCTAGCTCACCGCGACAACGGAGGGCGTATCATCGCAATGCAGAAGACGTTCAACTTAAACATTTTGCACTTCCTTCAAGATCCGAGCGAAGGTTTTACACTGAGTCGGGGAGAATGAGTATGCGCATTCCAATCCCGTGAGTTCAATAATTTCTTCTTCCCAGTTTTAACGTTGCTCTTTCACGCCAGTACGACCTAGACATCGGGTTCTGTGACCAAAAACGCCGTCCCAGACTGGGATGCGTTTAATTGCGTTACTCCACCTTCGCTTGTCCGCATGAGAAGGGTCATGCCAATGATATCCATCTCTCGAACGCTTCTCACCATGCGTTGCGAGTATCTCAGCGCCGCCGCCAAGGAACGCATCTTGTTATCGCGCAGGGCCGCGTTGCACCGAGGATCTCAATGTTACTATCAATATGGCGCTTCGCGAAGTAGAAGAAACCCAGAAAGATGCGACGTAGGACCTACCATCAGCGCTGTCTCAAGATCAGCGCTGTTCCAAGGATACCGAACCTCTCCAGTATTAACACTTCAATATTCTTCCTTCGGCAAAACGGGAAGACTTGGCGTTTTTTGCGAACCATCATATGATATCAACTCACTTGACCTCACAGGATGCACAAGTCAACACGGGACGCAACGTATCTGCATTAGAACACTTCAGGGTGTTCTATGGCAGATCTAACCGCCGCGAAAATTATTTACGGGATCACTGCGACAAAAGATTGCCAAGGAGAAGACTTCGTGCTACTGCCTGAACATCCGCAAAGCATTATTTAAGCATTTGCAAGTTCGAGCCCAAGACTTCCTTGCTTAAGTCGAGGCCTCCTCCCTTCAATAGTGTCTGTGGCGAATGCATTCATCGTAAGAGCTCTATCCTTCGTCCCTAACATCCCGCGGGCATTAATATATGCCAATACGCTTTTCTCATCGTTGGACAACGTGTTTTCCGCAAGGCCATTCATGCCAACATGAGGATTGTTCCCTGCACATGCACATCAGTTTTCCATCAGAAAGCAAGCAATGATTGTGATCTCACCGTCCATTTCAGTGATGATACCCTTTGTCTTCAACTTCTTGAGAACGGCCTCGCGAGACTCGTTGTGTGCTGGTTCGAAAGCACGAGCGCAGATGTCTATCACTTTCGACAAGTCCGAAGCGGAAAGATGCTCATCTACGTCGATTGCACCCTGGATGACTTGGTAGCGTTTACGATCATTGAATCCTGCGAGAGCATTTCTTCAAAAGAGATGGGCTTACCAGGTCTGATAAATGAGAACGCTCGATCAAAATTGTCCTCATTAATATCCGCTAGAACAGCATTTCGTTGCGATTTCATCTGCTTATATGCGCCAAGGACCACCATGAGGAACCAGGTGTAACTCGAGCCTATTTTCTTTGTATGCCACTCCGCAGCTTCACTTTCAGTGCAGTCGCCGCGGATCGACGCACAAATCGTCAGTGCGGCTGACAAACCTCCAGTGAGTGCAAGATGGACTCCCGACGAGAAGAAGGGGTCGATGAAAGCACCAGCATCTCCTGCGATACGGAACCCTGGGCCAGAATAACAACCTGAAGAGTAACTATAATCGCTAGCAGACCTGACCATCTGATCACCGTCAATAGTCTTCAGCTTCGCTGATTTGAGGAAGGACAGAATTGTTGGCGCAAGCTTGAGTTGCTCCAAATAGAAATCTTGGCTTGACAACGGCGGATCGTGTTCACGTTTCTTCTTGTTGGCAAGCTCTTGGTTCATAACTATACCGACAGACGCCCCAACATGCAGAGGCAAAATCCATGCCCAGCCGGATTCGTCTATTGAATGCTCAGCTATGTGATAAGTGGGAGGATTCAAATCGAATACCTATCAAGGCCTCAGCTAGCGGTGAGCCTTCACGGGGCGTCCCACTGCCGTACATCTCTGCTTCTTCCCAGTACGCCCAAATTGCTATGTTCTTGAGAGATTGGTTGTATGTCCGGTTTTTCAAGTACTTCGTGCACATCAGACCAGCTCGTCCGGTCGCATCGACGATGTAGTCAAACGTGATGTCTCCAGTTTCCCCGTTCGACTTGAACATATACGAAGCACGGATCGGGCGTCCGAGATGGGATGCATCATCGGGTTTAAAGGATAACTCAGTCACTTTGACTCCGTCGAAGACTTTTGCTCCACTGGCCGCTGCGTGACGGAAGAGTATATTGTCCGATTCAGAGCGCAGAACATTCCAAGAGTAGTTGTTCGGTCCACCAGCAGCGACAAAGTCCGTGTCTAACAACCGGACATTCATCATAATGTCAGTAACACGCATACTGTTCTAAACGGAAGTTACTGACATCCTTCGCGATTATGCTGATTCAACTTGAACGCAGCGCCATTCTGATCAGTCAATGTAAGAGTAAGTCAACTGCACCTCGAAAACTTGTACGTGTTTCGTACCTTTACGATAAACCCAAAGGAGTCAAACGCAGAGTCAACGTCGATGAAACGAAACATGTGCCGCATGGCAGGCAGCATACTCTCTCCGATATGATACCTACACGGAAAAGACAGTCTATCATCGGAGCCATAACTTACGAAAAATAAGGTCACCTAGGAAAATTATCGGCCTCGAGAAGGACTACATCAATTCCCTCTCTTGCCAAGGCGGCAGCAGCAAATGAGCCAGCGGGACCACCGCCAACTACGAGGACTGTACATGTCCCAGGGATTTCAGAGGGCATCAGGTTACTTCGATTGAGTCAGTACGAGGATTGCTAGACGCAATGACGGCTTACAGAGTAAAGACGAACAAAGGCTGGAGATTGTCAATGCTGCTGTTGGTTAGTGCTTGTTAGCGTTCAGTAGCATTCATCACGAAGTTTATAAGCCTACTTTTTAAAACACCCGAGAACTCAACACAAATCCTCGAAAGACGTCTGAAAAATTTAATAGTCAAGTTCTTTGGCTTCGAAAGATGTACTGAAATAGATAACGCATGGTTTGAAGATGTCTGTAAGGGTCGATGGGCTGAGAGAAGATGGTGAATCGGATTGCCTGCAATCGCAAGGGAAATTGATATTCTAGAGTTAGACAGAAGAAGATGCAATGATTAAATCAAAGTGCTATTGCATCCACTTGATGAAACTTTTGGATTAATTTAATAAACATTTTTGCTTCGCTGCTACGTTTAACTTTTCCTTAGAGCAAATTATTTTATAATACAACGGCAGAACGCACTACGAGACTATGGGAATCTTCTATCGAATTCTTATGTAAAGATTCTTCCATATTGTATCTCTACTCCATATGCTGTATATATGTGCTGTCAAGAATCACTTAACCTATCGTATGTTGTCAAGCTATCTTATTCAGTACAGCGGACAGTGCAAATCATGTCAATTTGGTGACCTATATCAAAATCACCAGTATAAGAAACAGATAATGATTGGATTGGCTAGCCCTTATTGCATGGATATCCATTGTACCAACACATTTCCAAGACAATGCCGATTACTAGGAATGAATATACGGACTAAGCTTGACAGTCTCATTTCAATGGCCTTCACTAGTACACATACTATACAAATTAGAATATCTGTATAGTACAAGTCCGAGCGACTTTGAGCCTTATGGAAAAATTCGGATAGTAAGCACTTAGGTACGACATCTGTATTGTTCTTCCATCAAGACATAAACCAACCTGCTTGAAAGAGTTGCGATAAGGTGACCTTCATTGAGCTTCTCTACATCATACTTCTCAAGCGTGTATTGTTGCAAGGATCTACTCCGAGTTATCATCAAGGCGAATGATACCTTGGGAGAGCTTTTCACAATATAAGCACCTCAGTTGCATATCCGAGGTTTAGAACTTTAGAATTGGAGTAAAAGAATGTACCCTTGATTCATACCAATGTGCATTTTTATCCTGAAAGCTTCCTATCTGACAGTGAAAACATGGCAGTATTGTCCGCACCTCCGCTCCACTCACAAGCATCCAATACTTTGTAGTCAGAAATCAAAGAAGACTAATCAGCCAATGCTTCCGATTTCCACGTCCTCAGCATTCGTGTGCCTCTGAATAGTGAGGTCAGCAAAAGGCAACTATGAGAAGGTTGTCACCGATTTCAATCCTTTCTTCTACAGTCAAAACATCCTACCTCTATACTTGCGATGTCTTCAATCTCGACGCACGGGTGGAAGAATATTGTCTCTTTAATTCTCATGTGCAGCGCCTCGTTGCCTTACCAAACAAGACCTTGCTTCTTCGTGTATATTCTTGATCTGCGGATGCGCCAAGTTTAAAAAAGAAGTCGACACTAAATGTTTAATTGCGGCGACGTCTCCAGCGCATTCACTGGATACTTTTATAAGAGATTCGAGAGTCCCTCGGCCTTCTCACTGTGATTCTATCATACGACCGTGTGGGCGATTTTACCTGCAACATTACGATATCACAGAATAGTTCACACTACCATTGTTCAATCAGAGATCATTTACCTCCAGTTCGAGTCACGTTTTGCTTAATCCGATATATCTTTTCGCATAAATATTGGACTAGCCAAGTGCACGGCAGTACAAGAAGCATCGTGCAGAATGCAATACTGCCGTTGCAGCATCATATTCACACCGGAACTGAGATGATAGCAGGTTTAAATATAGAGCTGTTTGGGTTCCTTCTAATTTCCTGAAGCTTCCATCCAGAGGAAGACAGAATGCTCTTGAATCCGTCGATTGTGCGTTCTCCGGCATTCAAGGCAGCAAACACCTTTTGCCATTTCATGAGCTTGAGTACATGGATTCTGACCGCATGGGTACTCACTGCAAGATCCACAGAATACGAAATCACATTTGCGCCTCCCATGTTCGCAAGAAGAGGGGTTGGAGGCTTCTCTGTCTCATCTTGAGACCCACATGCATAATCGAGTATATGGTCAATTATTATGAGCCTAGTTGAAGGAGTTGCCACATCCCGAAGTCGACGCAAAATCATGATCGCGTATTTATCAGACCAGTCGTGAATGACCATCCTCAGGATAAAAACGGATACAGGACCAGGTAGCTGAGGCTGAGCAGCAAAAAAGTCCGTCCCTGCATATGTGTCAGTACATGACATTCAAGGGAGAAAATGAAACAAGGCGACAGCACCAATGAAGTGCACGTGACCACTGGAAACGTGTTGTGGAAGATTTTCCTGCCAGAACTGTCAATGGAAAACGATTCAATGAACCACTAAGAACGAAACCATCCATTTAAACGCGTACCCGCTTTGCCTCCTCAATTGTGAGTGGCCTATCTTCGATGACCATCCGGAGTCTAGGATAAACCTTGGCAATTTCAAGTGCGACGTGTCCCAACCCTCCACCGACATCAACAACGATGCCTTCGTCTGGTAAAGTGGCCCAGTCAAAGGCTTGAAAAGGGTTAACATACGTGTTATACCCGCCCATCCGAGTGATACTGCTTCATACCTGCTAAAATTGATGCTGGCGTATGCATCTTGTTGGCAGTAGCCATTACAATCGCAAACCTCTTTCGGCGGAAATGCTCCGTTGGCCTTTCAAGATATTCGAAAATTGTTTCCGATGTTTTCAGAACCTTTTGCAAGCCGGCAGAATTAGGCTCCTCGGAGAATTTCATGTCTGGATCAGTCATGGCCTCGACTAGGTATGAACCGGACTTCATGCATTCATCAGCCCTGATAAACCAGTGTAAATCTATGCCGGAAGTCGCGAGACGAACACATTCATGATACGCACCCGTAGCCTGCAAAGGCTGACATTCCATTGGAATTATCGTGTTTGGTACTCGGACTGTAGATGTCTCGTTACCTCATATTATGGCTAATATAGCGAGCCAGACGTACTCGAAATCTTTTGTGATGTCCTTTCCAGAGTCTAGGAGCGATGAAAGGAGGTTGTTCGTGAAAACATCGGGCGTTATCTCGCGGAACCAGTGCTCGGTCGCAAGGTAACGTAAAATGCGCGCTTAGGATGGAAAGGTGAGCGTTCGTTTGAAGCATCCGAAATATAGTTGACTTTTGCTCACAAAGTTTCTTCGGGTGCATATCGCTTTTAGCAGCGATCTCGTTAATATGCAATCCCTGCATATTGTATGTGTCAGGATTTCGTGTATACAGATAAAATAATTCAATACGTCTGGGCCTGCATCACGAAGGATCTCTGCTACGTTTCCCGCCTCTGCAACTCCGAGTGCTGCAGGTAACGTATACTGAATAAGTCTCGTTAGCTTCCGGGACAAGTATAGCTTGCGTACAAGTACCTTGAATGCCGAGAGTGTCATGGTAGCTGCAGGCGGGGTCACAGTCGCGAGCAACTGTGTTGCTGCTGCCCTAATGAGATTAATGGACAGAGCGACGGAAGAGTCATTACGGATTCCTTCAGGCGTGAATTCGGACGCATGGATTGGGTCATTGAGAGAAGGGAATTCCTTTCCAGACGTCTCGCAGACTGCACATATGCTGTTAATAGCCGAAGAAATAATGTTCCCAAGTGCCCTCAAGTCGTCAGTCATGGCGGAGTGTCGAGATCAGGAGGATGTCTCTTGCGCCGATGTTGAGACGCTTATAAAGATTGCTCGATAAGAAGTGTGGAAACGGACGAGGAAAGTGCGTAAGATGTTCGGCGGTTCTGAAGCCTTTAGTCTGCGATGTCCAGTAGATTTCATTCCCTTTAAGACGACTCTCTGATACTCCGTAAAATATTTAATTCCCATCTCTCCCTGCGGATTTGGAAAGGATAAGGCATGCCTCGCGAAGTTACAAAATGTACTATTCTTCTTGCCTTCGGTATCATAGAATCCGACTACAGCAACCCAGCCTGTGCATTCTGGCTACCAATCTTCGTCTCTCAGTAAATTCGAAATATAAATTTGTTTCCGAATTTAAGTTCCATCATCAGCATCAGGGGCGAAGCTTTAAATGCACATGGTACCCCAAATTAAGCTTGGGAAAATACTTTCTCTCTATTCGTATGCATGAGATCCAGACGCATAAAGTGAAGATTTGATCATTCGATGGTATTTATAGCACAGAAATGCTAAGAGCTTGATCTGAGAACTTCATTTGGCGCGCAATGCAGTATGCCACTCGAACCTTCGGCAGCTTCTAAAAGTTCTGCCCGGACCATAGAAACACAGGCTTATAACACGTCTGCTCAGTCACGATCTTTGGGAAGTCAAAGCGACAGTCGAACTCTTTGGGGATCTCGATCTCGAAACAAGTGCCACCCTTGAGAGCCTTCAATTGTGTGCTGCAGAGCGCGGAATGGACTACTTTCCATAGCAAAGCATGCCAGTGGCTTTCACTGTACAACCTTTTCCGGATTGGCCTTCTGTTTCTCGGCGGATTGTGAGGTCTATTTACGTCTTTATGTTGTATTACAAATACTAACTAATCAATCATGGCATCGAGCTTTTCAATAGCATACAGTGAGTGTCAAAAGTATTGCAACACCCTAAATTAATTCATAACTCAAGCACAACACATTTATTTTTTAATCTGTAAATTGTATTCTATAGTCAATTGTCCAAGAAATATAGTAAAACTTGTGTAAAAATTGAGTGAAAGCAGACAAAAATACTAAAACATGCATTTTCTATCTTTTGATTGGTTGAATATATACTATAATGAAAACCAAAAAAAGTTGCTCCTACATAAGGAGAATAAGACCATGCTTTGAAGTAGATAATTTGAACTAGTAGTTCCTGAGATATGAGCC